ATTCACATCATATTCAATAAGGGAAGTCTGACTGACCATCATGTCTTGTGAGAAGCCCTGGAGTGTCAGTAACCTACAAATATTTTGGTTGTTCAGTGGCGTCAGGTCTTAGATGAGAAGGAGGAAATAAGCATTTTGTCTGAAGAGTAGAGAAAATAGAAATGCATATGTTTGAACCTGAAAACGTTCATGATTGGATACTATATGACCCATTAGAATCCCTCTTGTTGTGAAAGGGTAGCTGCAGACCTGCAGAAAGGTGAGGTAGAATAAGAAAACAGAAACACAAAATTATAGAAATAAAGAAAGGAGAGTAGAATGAGGCTACAAGGTACACACTCAGTTAGGCTAAGGCCAGACAAAGAACTTGTCAACATGGCTTAAAAGTAAATTAAAACATTTGTGCTTTGATGTTAATCAAAAACAAGAAGCCTTAGTGCTATACAATGGAGGAACTATTAGAAAAAGCAGCATTAATACTGAAAAAGACAAGAGTACTAAGAATTGCCATCTTCAAAGAATTGTAAATGAGCACAGTTGTTTAGAATCTTAATTACTACTCCCTCCATCCCATAATATAAGAGCATTTTTGACACTACACTAGTGTAAAAAACGCTCTTATATTATGGGACGGAGGGAGTAACCAGTAATACATGAATTATCAGGAAGCTATGTCTACCGCCAAACTACACTACAGATAAATTAAGCAATAAGCATTATTCACTGCTTAGGGATATGCTCACCTCTGGTTTTCCAGTGGATAATATTCGAACTAATGATGACTTCCCCACATTGGGTGATCCAACAAGACAAAGTGTCGGTATATGTGGATCAACAACTGGCATAGAACGCAAAGCCTGTAATAGTTTACTGATCAGTCAGTGCTAATAACATAATAAGTGAAATAGAAATCTTAGAAGCCTAAATAAGTGTGAAAAAATAAATTATGAGACACCATAATAATTTTCTTGGTTTTTCGCCCACAACAATCCCCAATGACAAAGTAAGGAATATTACCTTTGCAACGTTTATTAAATCCTCAATTGCATTTTGACCACGCTGGAAAACTTCCTCAAGTTCCTTCCGGCCCTAAAAAAATATTAGATGCAACCAAAGAACTCATCAAGCAGAGAAAGAAGTGTAAATAAACTGATTATACATTTGAACAAAAAACAAAAGATAGTTGGGTCTAGGAAGACACTTATTTATATGTGCTTAAACTTGAACAAACCTCAGTGAGTCGCTCCTCTGCTTCACGCTTCGTCAAAGACTGTCAATATCAAATGTAGATCGTGAATCAAATTTACAAAATTTATGCTACTATTTTGTTGAAAGAGAAGAAGCTCGCAACAGTTAGGGTTTGGCTATCTAGGCTTAGTAAGTGAACAACAATGAATAGCATACTAAAAGGCTGTTGAATTGTCCTCGTTCCCATAGTGGACGACCAAAGTACCTTACCGAGCATGTCGGTGCATATACGGTGTGATCATTTTCCCTACATTATGTGCTCATTGTAATCATTTCCTATCAGAATGCCAATCTAACTTTGAAACATAAATGACTTTATGTGTCATCAATGGTTATAGTTACTAGTTCCAAATGTGTTTGTAAGACACTTGTCAAATGCTTAGTAAAAACAATACATGAATAGTTGCAATGGTACAATATTGATACAGGTGGGAATGAAGTTAACAGAGCATATGGGTGTGACCAGTTTGGAGGCAGATGGTCTGATTCTGTCCTTTTTGTAATGTTCGTGTCACATTGAATTTCTATTCACTCTTTTACCCTATTGCATTTGTTCTTTAGGCTGTTGTACTTGGATACTTCATTATGTGATTACTGAATTTTGGTGGTGCTTTTTCTCAACATGCCGTTTCCTTTTCTTTGAGTTATTAAAGACAGGATAATGTTTGGTTTCAACAAATGAAGATGGGATTGCCCCACAAGGTCTGCATCTACGCTAACCTTAGCACAGACAGAAGCATGTTGCTTCCCGACAGAAGTTATCTTTTTCCTAAGAGCATCCACTCGCCCTAGTACCTGTCATAGCACTACCAATAAAATCACAATAACTCTAGAAGTAAAATGAAGAACTTTCATGACAAATACAATTGAAAGAATTAGCAACACTGCTAGTTTTGACATTTGTTCTGTAATCATTAGTCCAGTGCTTATAATCAGAACCGGGAGGGGCAACTTACATAAGAACTGTACCTTTTCATAATATCCCTCCCCAAAGGTCAACTCAATGAGAGATCTCTCATAAGGATGTAAATCTCTCCTTCTAGGGAAGTTCTCTGTATAAGTTCTCAGTGGCACCGAAAGTTCCTAAAAAACAAAACAGCTCTCAGTAACCAAGTTGAACTATTTGCATTGGCAGTGCAACAACATAGAGGACTTACCTTCATTAAGGCATCAAGTTGTTTTGCACCTTTGTTTCTTTCACGCTTGGCTATGTTTTGTATACCTACAGAATATATGGATCTTGAAACAAAATAGGTGACCCAGAACTGTATGTGAAATGTCATAGTAGCTACAAGGAAAAAAATGCTAAAATATATGTTAAATTGAAGAATACCCTTTGTGGGTGGCACATTTCTTGATTTTCTTTGTGCTGACATAAGTATATCAGTTGCAGGCATCACCATAGGTATTCTTTGAAATGCACCAACCATTTCACGCTTTTGCACAAGATCTCCCTGAATGAATATATAATAGCAAACAAAAGAAACTTATGATGCATCTGATAGTAAATATACAGTGTGCTAATGGAAGTAACTTTTGCCTAGTATATGTCTTCGTGCTGAAATTTCATATAACATTAAAAAATGCACCAAGTACATGTCAGCTCTTGAGGTGCCAAGAATTAATTAGGCCTGAAGCAGAGAAACTCAGTTTCACAGCACTTGAGGTTTATATATATATTACACTATTAACCAGCTCATTGTTATTTAGCACTGGTCAAGTATACTACAGCTGCAGCATCACGGTTCTTGTAGATTATGCAGCTTCGATATGCTTACGAACAACCCCTGTGACACCCACAAAGTAAGCCCAGCTACACTCCTATCATATAACCACTAAGCAGAGCAGAAACTCTGGCTATAAAGAAAATTCAAGTGAAAATGCAAAAAACTAGACAATACACATGAGATTATTTTTTAATACATTATACAGAGAAACAGGATCTTAAGACTTTGAGGAAGCTAAATATGAATGTAGGTGCACATACAAGAATCAGATCGGTCAGGTGAGAGAAGTTAGAGGAACAAATTGACACCAACAAAATATGGTCTCAAAATAAAAATAACACACAGGAATCTTGGCAATCAAGAATATGCTAAAATTTTGGTTCAAAATGATGACTACCAAAATGTGAAATAAAAATAAGGAAACAACAGGTAAGCACACTATACAAGTACTTTTTTCATGACAGCAATGCATGCGACAATAAATCTCTGAATATGGAACACGACAAAATTTCAAAAAGACATGCTCGGCGAAGGGTTTGAAGAAATGTACATTTGATCCATCTGTTAACTCTATATGTGGTCTGTCATCTACAGAAACACTGCATGTTGCAGAATGGACCCAACGACCCAAGTAGACTGTAGAAGCCCCTCGTTCCAAGAGTTGACAAAAAAACCTGAGTTCCAAGTACCAAAGATGAAGACATATTCAAAATAGCATAACGAAATGAATAGTTTAAAGATAAATATAGCTGCATCAACAGAGTCCATATTCTGAAAGTATATTCAGACTGGAGAAGCTTAATAGGTTATCAATCTTCATTGTCATCTAACACTTGACATACAATTACAATCTAGAATAAAACAGGAAGAGCTACTTGGATTGGATGGTTAAAGAAGATCTTTGCGGTCACATATCAATAAAAACAAGACATAAACCATTTTTTTGCCTTTGGCTCATTTCTGATGGTGTTGTTTTTCAGTCCACTGTAACTATGATTTGATTATGTGCACACACAAGCAAAGGGAATTACCACACAAAAAAACTGACAACAAAGGGTTGGAATAAAACAGAAAAATAATATTATTAGGGGGAGAACAGCATGCTATATACTCCTCCGTTCCTAAATATAAGTCTTTTTAGATATTTCAATATGGACTACATACGAAGCAAAATGAGTGAATCTACACTCTAAAATGTGTCTATATACATCTGTATGTAATTCATATTGAAATCTCTAGAAAGGCTTATATTTAGGAACGGAGGGAGTATATTAGTTATACTGTCGAATTTCAAAGATTTAGCCCAAGACCATTTCTTAAAATTCAAGACCAGGAGATTATTCTATATTTGAATTCCTGTGATATGCTTAGTGGTTGTTTCAGCATATAATTGTCAATAGTTGTAAAATTCTATATTTAGCTAATTACCATGGATAAAAAGAATAAATGATTTACAATGTCACGGCCTATCAAAATAAATATGATATGCTTAGTGGTTATTTCAGAGTAACAAAACAACAGAAAATATCACATAAATATGAATTCCAGAGGTAACACATGTAGAAGAAAAGAATGTGTGCAATAAACACAGGAAATACACAAACTAAATAGTTTGAATCGACCTAAATAGGGGGAGATTTTTTTTTTCGACCCAGGTCTGCATGTGATTTATGGAATAAGGTGCACAATTGTTTTTTTTTACTATGCAAATGCAACTATCGAATAAAACGCACAGATGTAATTTGTGAGCAGAAGTTTTGTATTCTCTCAAAAGGGGGTTCGTTAGTACATCTAAAAAACAGCGATACAGCGTGTCTACCGTATTCGATACAGATTCGTTCCCAACGTCCCGATATGTATCAATGCCAGTATGGGTGAATATAGGCAATAAAATGAATGCAGATACGTTCCCTGATACTTCCTTGATACGGTCCAGCCCAGTCAAAACTCAGTAAGGAGCATATGTTAACCCTAGCCTACCCCAATCCCTGTGTACAGACTCCAACTCCCGAACCTCTTCCTCCCTTTCATACTCAATCTTGGCAGCTCACGGCAAACCAGCGACAAGATGGTGGTGGGCTTCTCACCTCCTCCCCCTCTCAGGCTCCAGTAGCATCTCATCAATGGCAAGATGGCACTTTGATCCTTGCATCCTCCCCACCCCAGTCTCTCAGCATCCAGCAGCAGGCCAGCGGCAGCCGGCAGGTGGTGGAGTGCTCCTCTGCTCCTCCCCCTCAGGCTCCAGTACTGCCGCCGGCAAGCTTGCGGACTGCTCCAGCAGTCCTGCTGCAGTGCTCCTCATTCCTCCTCACTCCTCCCTGTCGTCCCTGACTCCCCCTAACGGCAGCAAGCAGCAGCGGCGGCGGCCGGCGGTGGTGGGTTCAGGGCTCCTGAAGCAGCTCGCCGGCAGCAACAGCACCAACGCATGATATGATTTCTGCTCTGGTGCTCCCCCTCCTCCTTCTCCCTCTCCAGTAGAGTAGCTCCCTCTGGTCCTGTAGCTCAGCCAATATTGAACCTTTTATGTTTGCTAACCTGCTGCTGATTTTTGGCTCTTGGTTATCGGCTTTAGTTGGAAATCATGAATACTCAACCAATATCAAGATTTAACAATGAAGCCTGACACGAAAACACCGTTGGCTAGTCTAGCAAAAGGGGGCTCAATTTACTGGTAATTTCGCTTTTGTATAACCTCATCTCATAGCCCAAGCAGTCATTTTTATTCCCCCAAACTACAGAAGAAGGCGCCTCCGGTCCCAAGTCGAAGTAATGGGACAGCGAAAATCCAGCTCAGGGGACACGCACGCGGACCGCTCCAGAGAGAAGGCGTGCGGAGAATCGGGGGCTGACCTATGAGCCGTGGCGGACGGGCGGGCGGAGAGTAGTGGAGAAGACGGGGGCAGGGCGCGCTTGTAGAGCATGACGGCGGCCGCCACCCCCGACGACAGCGCCGGAGAGGCTCGCGCTCCCCGCAGCGCAGGGCCAGCCGCCGCGCCGGAGGGCAGCCAGGCCATGGCTACGCACGCGCACGGCTCCCTGAGCGGGGGAATGGATTGGTGCGGCGGCTGAACGAAGAATTTTCCTTTTTTTTTTGGAGGATGAGGGGAGCCTGGACGAAGAGAGAGGAGAGAAGATGCCTGTGGGTTCTAGGTTTCCTTGGCGATAATTTGATAGTGGGCCTGGCCCAACCACGTAAACAAAAACAGCGCCCAAAAGCCTTTTATTGTGATCCTATTTGACGCCCGCAGGCGTCAAAAGGACGAGTCTTCGCTGAAGCTCGGCTCCGGACGCCCCATTTTGGGCTGCCCACGGTCGCTCAGCTCCTTCTTCTTTTTTTTCTTTTCTAATCTATTTCTGTTTCTGTTTCTATTTATTTTCTATTCCTTTTATTAGCCCTTTTTTTATTTAGCTGTTACTTATAAGTTAGCGCTGCGTTTTATCCAGCCATAGTAGCCACCTCGACTGTGTGCTGTCGGTGCATTGTAGCGTGAGGTCTTTATTTCGGCTCCACGCGCCTAGATTTATTTTTTGTGAAATTTTACATCAGACGCCTTCGAATGGGTCGGCCCATTTGTGCGCCATTCAGCGAAAGCTTAACTATTGAAGGCATGCGGGCCAATAGGAGCTCTCAGATGCAGCGACTATATCTCGCATTCAGCGACACGATAGAAACTTCGCTGGAGCATCTACAGTAGTTGGGCCAGCCCATCCGTGCACATTAAAAGAAAAAAGAAAATGAAGAGGGGGTGAACGCAAGCGTGTCTCCAGGGAGATTGAAGGCGCTGCTAACCACTCCACCTGCTTTCCTTTAGGACGTGTTTGGTTGACGTCGGTTACAGTACCTGCATTCTATATCCTTCTCCAGTCAGTCTGGCTCTCGAAAAACAGTCTCATATGCAACATCTGCAAGTTGTTTGGTTGTCTGCATATGGACTGCCTGCATTAGTGGATCAACTTTGGCATGTTGTTTGGTTGCCTGCATTGTCTCGGCGCATACAACTACACGCTGTTTGGTTGCCCGCATGGGGTATAATTAAGAGCTAGCACTTGCACTTAGCATATAGGGTTAAAGAGCTAGTAGAGGAAGGGGGAGAAGAAATGCAGTGTTTGCCGGACCATGGCGACTGTGGTGGATAGTGGCCAAGGCGCCGTGTCCAACATGACGAGCATGGAGTCATGGATGAGCGACCCCATCGGCAGCACGGCGAGCGACACCGTCAGTGAACTAGTTGCTGTGCTCGCACAAAGACAGTCGGCAGAGGAGGAGAATGCAGTGCCGTGCCATGGTATCGTCAGTGCAGTGGACGAGAGAGGAGGCCGAGATGATCGACACCGGAAATGACTCCAGTGTAGTAGGGCGAGAGAGAGGAGGTCAAGATGATCGACCCCGTCGACGGCGCGGCAAATTGCAGTGTGCATGGAGGCAGATGACACAAGAAAGCAGTGTGCGCGCCATTGCAGCGTCAGTGCAGTAGGAGGATGACAGAGAGTAGTCCTAGATGAGCGACGCCGAAAATGACTCTAATGTAGTAGGACGTGGGCAAGGAGATCAAGGAGAAGAGCTTCTGCGTCGAGAGGGACGAATAGAAGGGCTCTGAGCAAAAGACAGAGGAGCTCGACATGATGGCGTGAGTGCAGTAGACTGCTGCTCAAAGAGAGATGAAGCTACAATCGTCGAAACCAAAAATTTACAATATGAATGTTGTGAGGAACTGCGAGATTAGGCTGCTGGTCAAAGGAATTTTCAAATGATCGATTATGTGCGACGAATCTGACAAAATTTGTCCAGAATAGCTCCAAACGGGAAGACGAAATTAAGAACTTACGGTCGACGAAACTACTAACCGATCGCCTGAATGGAACCATAGCATCGAGGTGCATCCTTTTTATGTAGAGCTTATCTCGAACCGAAGCACCATTTTATAGATCGAAGGGAGGATATTAGATAGGGGCTTAATGGATATTGAAGAAGACCTCAAATAATCACCTTGCATCCCTCTTTCTCACAAGGGCCCACTTGCTTGCGCTCAGCTCGGTCTGGCTCGTGAGAAACTGCTGATTTAAGCGTTTCCAGCGAGCTGGGCCCAAAGGTGCTTTATGTTCCGTGCTATGCAGGCCCAACAGTGTATACAGAAAACCAAACAGACTGGATTCTTCCCGCGCGCGCCTGGTCAAGTGTATGCAGGCAATCAAACACATCCTTAATGATTGGTAGTATGGTGTGCGACCTACTAAAAGCAATTCTAACTGGTTTTCTCAGTTCTTTTGGTTTTGTTTTGTTTCTTTTTTCTACTCTGTTTTTTCCTTTTTATCAATTTTTTTACATTTGTCTCTTCTTTTTTATTACATTTTTGGTTTTTGGTTTCTTTTTTTAATTTTATTCTATATTTTTTAATATGTCAACAACATTTTTCTATTACGTGATTATCCAATACAAATTTATATATTTCCTAATACATGGTAAACATTTGTAACATTTTCTAATTTTATAAATGCTTGATTACATTTTTTAAATACAAGATTAATTTTTAATTACATGATCAACATTTTTTCTATAAACACTTTAAACTTTTTTAAATGCTTGATTTACATTTTTCAAATACAAGATTAACATTTTCTAATACATGTTCAACATTATTGATGATTGATTAAAACATTTCAAATACTTGTTTAATATTTTTCAAATGCTTGATTAACAATTTTATATACATGTTCTAATTTGTTTATCATTTTTCAATATATGGTCAAAAAAATATACATATTGAAAAAAATTAACTGCTTGATTAAAAAAATTCAAAAACTTTTTCAAAAAAATTCAAAAGCTTAATTAAAAAATTTACATACATGATCAGAAAAAATTCATAATTTTTATAATACATGGTAAACATTTTTTACATACACATTTAACACTTTTCAAACACTTGTTCAACATTTTCTTTTCAAATGCATGGTTAACATTTTTTAAATACATGATCATATTGTTTCAAACATATTTTTTGTATACAATTTTTGAATATGTGATAAACATGTTCTCTATACAAATTTATCATTTTTCAAATGTTTTTATGTGGGGTGATTATTTTAATATATTTATTTATAATATTTTGGAAGTATAAACAAAACAAGAAAAATGAGCCTAATGTTCCCATCGCCTGGGCCGGCCCAACTCGCACCACCAGTTAGCGAGGGTCCCACCCTCTCGCTGGACGCGAGTATAGGGGCGCCCTTGCAAAGGTCGCTCCTAACTTCTCAGGTTGTGAAAGTGACGCACTTGTCACAATCTAGAAGTTTTCGCTTTTTTTCTAGATTTGTTTATTTAAAATATTTTATTTCTTAAACTGTGTGTCCAAATCATGAACTGTTTTCATTATTGGATTTCTCATGTCGAAATCTTCGAAACTAGATCTCATGCTAGAAAGTTTCGATGGATTTTTTTTCATGAGAAACACCGGAAAACAACCCGAACCAGAAAAGTTTGGACGAATTTTTGCATGGAGGGCCGCCATGAGTATGCTCACACACAGGCAAAAGTCGGTGTCATTTCATACATGGCAAGAAGTGCACCATGTTCAAAGGAGGTGGTTCGGGCATGCCGATATGGTAAGTCTGGATGCATTTTTTCCACAACAATAAAATGGACTCAATTTTTTTCCACCCACTAGCATCACCATGTCAAGCATCCATGATAAATTTCATTGAGCTCTGACATTTTACGCATTTTTAGGGTTTTCCCGGTAAAAAAACATAAAACACTAGCCGAACGTGACACAACGTGCGTTCGGTATCTGAATTCCTTCAAATTTTCCATGGAGGCCTGCCATGAGCATGCCCACATGCTGGCAAGTGTTGGTGTCATTTCATGCATGGCAAGAAGCACACGATGTTCAATGGTGGTGGTCTGGGTAGGCAGGCAGGGCAAGTCTGGATGCATTTTTTTACATCAATAAAATGGACCCAAATTTTTCCACACACTAGCATCACCATACCAAGAATCCATGATAAATTTCATTGAGTTCTGACATTTTATGCATTTTCTAAGGTTTTCCCTGTGAAAAAAACCCTAAAACACTAGCGGAACTTGATGCAACGTGTGTTCGGTGTTCGTATTCCTTCAATTTCCGCGTCGAGGCCTACCATTACTATGACCACATGCTCACATGTGGTGGTTCTAGTAGGCCGAGACGATAAGTCTAGATGCACTTTTTTTCCACAACAATAAAAGGGACCTAATTTTTTTCCACACACTAGCATCACCATGCCAAGTGAAAGAACATGCGGTGCCCCATGTTTGGTTTTAGTAATTGATGACAATCTCTATGGACTAATGGCTGCCTTGAGTTATTTGAAGGTTTTGTCCACAGGCTTTTCTTGGAGTACATGTGTTAATTTCAAGGAGAGTTTGTGTCGACCAAGGTGCTATTCAAGGAATTACCTAAAGATTGGTCTTGTGAGAGGTTGATCAAGACCATGTCAAAGAGTGAATCAAGTTGATCAACCCACAAAGCGTAGAAGATGTACCGAGAGAGATCAAGTGATCCCATGGTATGGTAAGCATTGTCAATTACGCTTTGTGTACTAACCCATGTTCTTCATGAGAGTTTTTTGTGGGGTTAGGTTGCGGTGTGCAAGTTCAAGTGGAGCATCATGAAGAGATCAAATGCTTGAAGCTTGCCATCCATTGTGGTAACAATGGATTCATGAAGATGTGCGGAAGAGTGGCTCACCCATAATGGAGTATGGGGAGCAATCAACTAGTCTTCATCGAGCCAACGCAATCAAGAAAGGTGGTCCAACTTGAGGAAGTCAAGATCGTCATCATCTAGCTCAAGTGGACTATGTGCAAGACAAAGGTTTGCCCTTGATAGGTTTTCTATTTTACCGGTCTCATAGTGGTAGTTGGGAGACCAGGTTATAGGATTGATTGCCGTACTATCAAGGGGGGCTCTCGATGAGTAGCTTGATCGTATCGTTCGTAGAGAGCTCAAACCATTGCATCCTTGCACCATCTTTCTTG